ACATTTCTGAGGTTACAAGATTGATAAGGTATGCCGGGAAAAGAACCTCCTTCTCTGTAGGAGGCGGTGTGGAACTGGGTAGTGGGATCTTCAAGTTGCGAATCAGGCCCATCGTCACCTCTTCATTGAGTTCATCTTCCTCGGATAGTAGATTCTCAAGCTCTACCTCAACAGAATCCAGTCCTGGAGAAAATGTGTTGCCGGTGAATGGCTGACGTCCCATTGCAGAACTCGGGATAGCCATAGAGACCGGTCTCGGGTTGTAAGCTCCACTGAAACGATCGGTGTCGATCCGCTCAGCACCAGCGCTGCGTCTCTTAGGCTTGGGCTTTTTCGAGGACACCAGGTTGATCAAGCCGGTCGCAGGAGGTGGGGTTGGCCCACCGTTCGATTGGTCACCACTCAAGCCATTTATGGGAACGGTTCGCTTCGCGATCTCGAGCTGCTCCTCGAGTTCGACGATTTGTTGACGAAGCGAAGCTTTCTCGTCCTCTGCTTCACTATTTAGCTGCTGTAGTCGCTCCAGCTCCTGGTTCGCAGAACGTATTGACTCTCGTGATATCCTTTCCTCCTCCTGAAGTCTCTTGACTGTTGCCTGTGCATCATTATGATTTTGCTGCAACCGGTTCATTTCGTCTTCCATAGCGGTCAACCGAGCAGCAGTGATGCCAGCTTGATTGGCCTCAGCCTGTAGCTCTCTAGACCGGTTTTCGAGAACATTGTGACGACTTCTCCAAGACTTCAGTTGAGTCTCATAATTCTCCAATTGTGTGTTTAAAGCCTTGTTCTCACGCTTCAGTGACTCGAGATACTGAGTTAACTCTACCACCTTGTTTTCGAGTTTGTAGGAGATTTGTTTCAGATCTCTTGCATCCTCCCGAAGCTTCTTGTATTGCTTCCTGGCCTGCTTGCCTCTCCAGAGATTTTGAACGATGATAACATTCCGACGGTACTGCCTCCACGCGCGTAATTGCCACCAAGAACGCCAAGATCGTTGTATTACTTTCGCTGCGTTGCCATGTATTGTATCCAAGATGTTTTGTCGACAGAGAAATCCTTTCGCAACTGACTGGAAAAGGACGAAATTGGCGCGAATTCGAGTGTAGTTCCTCCTTTCCCGGTGCCCTCTCCACACCCGTTGGATGGTTGTAGCTGCTTTGACCTTACGGATCTCAGCCGCGTGCTGTCTTGCAAGAAAGCCCCTCGCCAGAGCTTGAGTTGTAAGGATAGAGGCACGAGCCTCGAGATACCTGCGCCGGTAGTACTTGCATCGCAGGTTCTTCTGGATCATTATTGCACATTCATTGAGCCTGGATGTGCGGAGATTTTCAAGAAAAGCAAGCATACCAGCGCGGAAAAAGATTTTCGTCAAGCCTAACTGATACTTGCCTTGCTTTTTCTGAGTGCCATCACCAAGAGCCTTCTGTAGAATGGCATGACACATATCTCTAATCTCCGACGTCCATTGCGACGAATGGCAGAGCATGTAGTATCTTATAGCAAATTCTTCGTAGGTCCAGCGCGTTGGGTATCCTGCTGTACTAATGCGGACAGTTTCGAGAACACCGCAAGCTCTCAATTGACTAAGAACCATTGGACCCTCAAATTTCCAGGGTTCTTTGGCCTCATTCGGTTTGATACAGCGGATGTAGTGAACATCTGTCGAGTTGATTGTGTTCATCAGCTCAATCAATGACGACTTGAAGATACCACCAAGAGTAGGCTTGCGATTGACAGCAACTCCAATCTTGCGCCCAGGAGCAGCAACAGGCTTGGAAGAGATAGAAGCTGAGTCCTTCTCCCGGACAGCGGCAGCGGTATCGAGAATCTCCTTCACAAACTCGTTAGACGAGCTGCGAAGAATTTCCATGTGTTCATCAGGTACAGTATCCCTGTTCTTCTCTATGAACCCGTCAGATTCATAAGTTACATCAACAGCATAATGGCAGATCGTGAACGCAGATTTGCCGAAACGTGGTTTTTTATAGAATTTTTGTTTGTCCGCGGCGAAATTATGATGAAGTTTCGTCACGAATTGTTCATCTGAGCCCATGGGTAGCCGAGACTCTTCGTCCAGAAGAGACAAAATACCCAGTTTCGCTTCAATCAAATCAATACAAGGCTGGTTGTCTGAGAAGTCAATGAATGTCCAATCTATCTGTTCCCGTATGTATTCTTCTTGCTCAAGTTTGAAGACGTGCTGATTGAACTCCTGCTGTAATTTCTCGTTGGCGTAGTTGATGCAGAACTGCTCGAAGGAGTTCTTTGCGAAGTGTTCAAAGCCGTAAATATCTAGGACGCCAATGAAGGACTTGAAGTTGCTCAAGATATTATCAGTAGCCAAACCACGGTTGATTTTATCAACAAGCCAGTCAAACAAACTCGAATAAATGAACTTGGCAACAGAGTCCCTCACGACGATTGCTTGCTGCTGTGTGAGGTTAGACGTGATCTTTTCGCCCCTCGTGATCAGCTGCTTTTTCACTATCCATTTTGCAAACTCGATGGCATCGATCCCCAGCATATCGCAGGCTCGCATAAGAGAAGGCTCCGAAGATGACAAATTGGAGTCAGTCCTTGTGGAAGTAATTTTGACGTTTCCAAGATGAAGCAAAGCTGCGAGGACCCTAAAAATCTCCACTTGAGTCTTTTCGGGCACGCCAATGGTACTTAAGGATTTTTTGGTCGCAGTAAATTCTGTGCGATCGTCAACGCCATCAATCGTCGGCGTCCCGCCCTGACTGAGGTAATCGAAATCTTCAATCGAAGTCAAACCAAGGTCCTGCTTCTCTGCATCCGTTGCGCCGGCTACCAACTGGTAGAAGATGTGGTAATTCCGCTCTTTGAGGGGCTGAAACACCAGGCGAGATCTTTCCAGAAGATAAGTCCTGATTTTTGCGCCTATAATATTAGTCTTGTCATCGAACATGATTTCGATGTACTTTCCGAAGCGCGAAGAATTATCGTTGCGTGTTGTTTTGGCGTTTCCAAAAGCTTCCATGACAGGATTGGTGGCTAGGATCTGCTCTTCGGTCTCACTGATTGCATCTGCCCGACTTGTGGTGTACTTGCCAGGCTGATCGGAGGACTCGCGAGTTGCAAAATATCGCATAATATACTTTGCGCTGACGGTTTTTCCGGCCCCTGACTCGCCAGAAACGACAATGGTCTGGTTCTTACCATCTCGTAGCATATCGCTGCGCAGATTATGTGAGCTGGGGAGACAGATCGAACGAAGGATCGGCTCTTACGCAAATGCTTCCTCGGCGATGGCAAACAGGTGAGGTGCTTGAGATGCTCGGTGTTTGCCAGCGTATACTTGCACCATTTGCGGAACATAGAGGGAGTCAACCCGGGCGAAGGGATTCGTAGCAATAAGGACGATACCACTGTAGGTATAGATCTCTTTCTGTGCATAACGTAATTTTATAGCCTGGAGGACTTCAAGGATTTCAGTTATCATTGCGCTACGGCTGCAAGATGGATACCTACCAGCAGGCTCATTCAGGTGCGACAAATTTGTGAGATCCTCACTGGCCTCCAGCATGGCAGGGTTCATCAACGGAGGCAAGTTCGGGTTGTTGTCAATCTGCAATTCAGCTTGACTGGTTTCGAAAGTTTTTGTCTATTGCCAGAGAGAATTTAGCCTCTCGCGTTGGTGACTCGCAAAGATGCGAACAATGGTAACGTACCTCTCCATTTTCTATGGAAAAGACGAGTTGCACTTTGTCTCCATCTACATGCTTCTCCTTCACCTCAGAAGCAATCCAGCCCTCGGTCGGATCGGGCTGCCAGGCCCTCGTGCCCACCTCGTAGTTGTGAGCCATTTAACAACTTTGTTGGCACTCAAGACAATATCCTGAACAAGATTGGGCCGGAAAACCAGTGTAAGACGTTGGACAATCTTGTATGGATGGCCGATGCCGCACGCATCTAGCGAGAACAAAAAAAGGAGATAGTCGAGTTCAATTCAGAGGTCAGAGAATCATACCTTGACACGCTGGAGATCGTAGGAGGTTTGCTTGAGAAAGAAGATAGTCTTCATGCTCTCCTCCAGGGAGAAATTATTGAACTGGCTAACAGCTGGCGTTACCGAGCCCGGAGCCGCGAGCCGCGAGCCGCAGCCCCTGAGGCGGGCCTGGACGGCCGCGCCACTTATCGAGACACTCTCCACAGTTGTCAAAGCCAATGCCAAGGGTCATCATTATCGAAAGGCCTTCGTTGGTACACATCTACTATTTTTGTCCGCGTCTAAGAAACATGTGAAGAGAACTGACGTATAATCCCGTTAACTGGACCTTAAGTGCATGTTTTGATTTAACCATGATGTTCCAATCCCTTGCATTGAACATGACTGCGACTAATTTCCGTATTACGTACAATATCGACTACTATTGCAATTAGCGGTGTGGTGAACCGCCCGCGAAGAGATATTACAATGCAATGACCCCCTCAAACTGAACATGGCATCCACCCAACACCTCCGATTCAATGAAAAGAGCTTTCCACAATATCGTTCTCCGGCAATTGTTATCTTCCGCTACTGCTGGTGATATTTGTAAAAGCATAGCAACAATTAATTTAGCACCAGGAATGAGATTAAACTCCGATTGCCCCAAGCATCCTGGGAATCTAACAGAGGCCAGTAACCTAATTTGACGGCAAAAGATTATTAAGAGACTCGCTACAATACATGCGTCAGCGCAGACCCGTGTAAGACTTTAAGTAAGATATTTGTATCTGAGAACTTTGCTAGTGCATGAATATAAGAAGAGATTAGGAGTAGGAGGCATGTGATAGGAGAAACAATTTGAGGCAATATTAGAAATCGAACAAAAGGCGCACGGGTGTAGGAAACAGTTGAGACAACCAAGCACATATAAAGTCCGGTCGCGACTGAGATACACTTCTTATGGCTGTGTCAGATCAAGCCGCCCTCAGCTTTGTTTGCATTCTGCTGCCTCCTTCTTCGGCTTAGAAGTACCGTCCTACCGACTTTGTCAGCATATGAACATGATTAATGGTAAATGATCAGAACGAGCGCATACCTCTTCATCTGAGTCCTCATCGACATCACGGTCAGTTTCGCGGTCATCGTCATCGTCATCGTCTTCATCGTCTTCATCATCCTCCAAATCAAATTCATCCTCGTCCATGTCGTCACCTAGTTCCTCGAATTGGAGAGCCTCCCCAGTGAACCAATCAATTGCTCTGGGGATCAGTTTTTCCTTGATATCTTCTCCAAGCTGATAGTCAAGTTCGAGACGCTCCTCGATATCAGTGGCGACAGTATCATCATCATCGGTGGGGGGCTGTGGGGGTGAGAAGAAATTGAAGAAAGACTCCGTGGGAACAGTTATCTTGACAACGCGGGTTTGTTTGGTATCTGAAAATTTTAGTGACAGGTTGGGATTTCGGCGGGGGGTGACATACTCTTGTTTCTCTGTTTCTTGCTCTCGATCCGTACGGTAAGATCCTTGTCCGCTTTCCAGTCGATCTTGGTGCCTTCCGCATGATCATAAATGAAGTCACCTCCGTAGCCGTTCTCTTCCTTGTAGTAATAGGTTTTCGAGATGGATTGGTTAGAAAAGAAGGGGTTCTCGGTAAACTCGAAGATAAGACGGAATCCAGGGCGATCAAGATACTCCATCCGGATGTCGGTAAGATACTTCAGGGCATCTTCGTCGCGTTCAGTGATCATGTCCGCAAGGGAAATTTGATTCTTCATAGCCGATAGCCAGAACTCAGGGATTCCAGCTGTCGTTGAATCATTGGCTTCATCTTTGCTAGCTTCGCCTTCGACCTCGGCGTCATCCTCCTCTTCGCGGCCATTTGCAACCTCCGAGTCAGTGGGCTCCGTCTCACCATTAACTATTGTGGCACGTCTCTGGTAAAGAGGAGTGAATTTCGCAAAATACTTCTTCTCGAGTTCCAACACTTCTTCCTGGAACTGAGCCTCCAGCTTGGCATGCTCCTTCTGAATACCCTTCAGTCCAGCAACTCGCCGGCGAACCGATACGGGTAGAGACTCGATGTAGCCTGAAGAGCGGCCGACAAGAGATCCCAGTTTCCCTTGAATCATGGAGACTAGACCCGGATTGCGTGCGAAAAGGGAAGCGGCCGTAGCATGGTCAAGGGACTCTATGGAAATAAATGAGCGTCTGGTGAATCACCAAGGGGGGCGATACTCCATGCGTTAAATTACCTTCTTTAATGCTGGCAATTCCAGGTTGCTGGGCATGAGAAGAGATCGGGGCGTTATTAGCTGGAGTGTTTTGAGGTGTCCTATGGTGTCACGCATCATCAGAAATCGAATCCTATCATGCGGCAAATTTGAGATTCAGTTGCATGGTCAAAAAAAAAACTTACGGCGCGATCGGAATGTCCGCTTTCTTGTTCCTGATGGGTTCAGACATCGTGATCTGACAAGCAGGGGAACTATTTTGGGGTGTACAGAGCTGAGTTGGCTGAGAGGTGTGTAAAGGCGAGTGTGGAGGAAGATTTTGATACACCCAAGTTTTGCGAGGTCTGGAATACTGGCTTGGTGGGATTATTAGCGCCCTTGGGCCGAGGGGCTTGGCGGGACGAAAGTGCTGGCTGTTGAGGACTGCTCGGTACTCCCAACAATAAATGTTAGTTACTGACTTCGACTCCGTATTTTCTCCCCTCTAGCAATAACTACACAGTAACTCTTGATAAACCACAAATCTTTTTCAATTTGCTGCTAACTAGAGCAAACCATACCGGGGTAACATGCTGGACGTTACTTTCTACATGCTTTCTACATGCTCTGTATAACTAACTTGTCTATAATAGTGTCCGTAACACATTGACTTCATACAGCAAACAGTAATCCAGTTCAGCCTTCCGGGCATCCCTAAAAAACATAGATTGAGATGAAGCCTTTTTGTAAGAGGTGCTCGGGTATAAATTGTGGTAGGCATCTCTGCCAGACAGAAAACCAATTCCAGCCGATCTCACGATTTCTACTAAACATAAGAATCTCTCTCTCTCTCTCTCTCTCTCCCTCCCTCCTGCTTCTCCTTCTTGCCCTACGACTGTCTTCTTCTCCCTTTTCACGTTCGATTCTGATGCTATTCCTGTAGACAACCTTCTGCCCATATATAGAAGAGACTCTTTGAAGACACATGAGTAGTGTTAGTGATGAAGGTAGGTATAGCGTTTGACAGTTTAAGTAGTGGTCTTATCAGGGAAGTTGTGAGCAGCGAGCATGTGTATTGATGTGTCTCATTGATACAGAGTACGTATAGTACAGTATTTCGCAACAGGTAAAATCTTCGTACCTAGGAACTTATCTATCTCCGGACGACCCCGTTCAATCTACTAAGTTACTGGGTATGCTGGGCTATGACTTAATCAATCTAACAGGCGCTTAATGACTAAAGCAACTTTTTCCCGTTCCAACACCACATAGACCCTCAGTAGCCGCCAGAACAATCAGCCAACCAACTGTCATAATGGATTAGGTTGCCATAATATCCGTGTTGGTCGCCGTCACTACAAACCTCGCAGACACTATCACCGAGATCAACAGCCCCATTGAGCACCGAGAAGCAGAGCAGCAGGGCGCATTTATAAACATGGAGGATCGTCAAGGGCAGTCGCAGCCATCCGAGGTCTATTTGCCCGGTGCAGAAAACCGGCGCAATTCTATGAGAAGCAGGTCATTGACACCAGATCTAACATTCTCTTTTTCCTTGCTAACGGTCTTCTAGCTATAGCATTGTATCCGAGGTTGAAATGGCTCGTAATGAGGTGTGTCGCGAGGGGAAATGTTTCGATACGTATCACTGACTTAACTAGGTTTATGATGGTCCAATATCAGAGAGTATACCATCAAGCATTGTCTCATTCTCTCACCGTCGAGATCGGAAAGACTCTACCACTAGCTTTACATATTTTCACGACGATGAGGATCACACATTGTGGCCACCCGAGGACGCATTGGATGTCGAGAGCGACATGGACGAGGTGTCCGTGACTGGCCTAAATGACACAAATGAATCGATACGGTCCTCTAAGCGCCAATCTTATTCAAGAGGCTCTGTTGAGGAACCCCTTCTACGGCGGTCATTCTCTGTTGCCTCGTACGCGCAAAATCGGATAGGCGAAAATATAACAAGCCAGAAAGTCCACATCATCTCAGAAGATCTTACCATTGTGATTGCGGGGTTTTCGACAAGCATCACTGGTCTTGTACTCTATTACATGTTGTGTGCATTGTCATTCGGTTTCGCTTACCTATTGTTTCGATGGTTTCCAAAATGGCGCGTTCGCCTGTTAGGTAAACCAGCTCCTCTTTGTGCTTCTGAATGGGTTGCGATTGAGGTAGGCAGTTTTACCTCCGAGATCTATTTATCTGTTGCTGATTTAGCGTTAGGATCAATGGAATCGATTTCAAGTACAACAAGTCGACAGTCAAGATTACGGGCGCCCCTTGTCTACGATTTTTGCCGATCCTGACTGCCATTCATACGACGAGGATAATGACCCCACCATTGCCAAACTGAGACGTATTGATTACAGATATCTTCGCTTCTTCTATAATCCACTCGAGGACAAATTCTGCCTGGTAAATGGGTGGAAAGATCCCCTATGGACAAATGTGAAGGGAATGAGACTCGGGCTGGATGCCGATGATCGTGACGATCGCGAACAAATATTTGGCAAAAATCTCATTGACATTCAGCAGAAGCCTGCATCTAAACTGCTTATGGATGAGGTAAGTGTGAAATCTTGGACTTTTCTACTTCGATATCTGACTCTGTAGGCTTTTCACCCATTCTATATCTTCCAGCTAGCAAGCCTTGTACTTTGGTCGCTTGATGAATATTACTATTATGCTGTATGCATATTTCTCATTTCACTCATCAGCATTGGTGCTACTGTCATTGAAACAAAAGCGGTACGTTTCCGTGGGCTTGTCGCTGTCTTCATGGGTGCTTATTTTCCTTCAGACAATGAATCGTTTGAGAGAGCTCTCACTATTCGAATGCGACACCCGTGTTCTTCGCAATGGATTCTGTAAGTGAACCCATGTGAGGCTTATCTTGCACGCCCCGGTGGGCCAGAAATATGCTCATGTTTTGATTTACAGGGAGATCTATTCCATCTCGAGAGCTTGTCCCAGGCGATGTCTACGAATTCTCAGATCCGTCCCTCACGCAAGTCCCATGTGACTGTATACTGTTGTCTGGTGACTGCATAGTCAACGAAAGCATGCTGACAGGTCTGATAAACATGACTGCCTTCTTGAGTAGATGGACTAATGCATAACAGGCGAATCTGTCCCAGTCACTAAATTTCCTCTTACGGACGATGCACTGAAGTATCTAAACCTAACTGGCCCTTCTATCAATCCCAACCTTGCAAAGCACTTTCTTTTTAGCGGTACAAAGGTAATAAGGGCACGGCGCCCACAGAATGTCGATGATGATGAAGCTATAGCGTTAGCAGTTGTTGTGAGGACCGGGTTTCTCACAACTAAAGGCGCCCTTATCCGGTCGATGCTCTTTCCTAAGCCCTCGGGCTTCAAATTCTATCGGGATTCATTCCGGTATATTTCAGTTATGGGCATTATTGCTATTCTAGGGTTCATTGCTTCTTTTGTGAACTTCGTCCGCTTAGGAGTAAGAGAATCCCATTGTACTACCAGACTCATCCTTGCTAACACAGACAAGCTTCCTTGGCAATTCATTATTGTCCGAGCACTGGATCTAATCACAATTGTCGTGCCTCCGGCGCTACCCGCTACATTGAGTATAGGAACAAATTTTGCTCTTTCTAGACTGAAGAATCATAAAATATTCTGCATCAGTCCACAGAGGTGAGAAATCTGATATTCCAGCCTTGAGAACTTGGTTTAATATTAGTTAGGGTCAATGTGGGCGGAAAGCTAGATATAATCTGTTTTGATAAAACTGGAACCCTCACTGAGGACGGACTAGACGTACTCGGAATTCGGGTCGCCGATAACAATGCGAGGTTTGAGGAAATATATATATGTCCTTTGTGCGTCTATTGACTATGCTGCAGCTTCTCCGGTCTGATCTCTACCATCTATTTCGATAACGCATTATTGGCGGACAGAACTGCTATACAGAGGACAAGTCGTTACGATAATATCCTCTACACCATGGCAACATGTCACTCTCTGAGAGTGGTTGATGGTGAATTATTGGGCGATCCTCTCGACGTCAAAATGTTTCAGTTCACTGGATGGTCTTATAAAGAAGGAGGAAGTCATGTCGAGCAATCGGACTCTGAGAGAATCATGCCATCTATCGCAAAACCTCCAGAGCCCACTGGCACCCTTGCTGGCCCCCCCCAGGAGCAGGGCCCACATGTATGGCAACATAGAATAAAATATTCCGACTCACTAAAGCAGGATGCTGATACACAACAGGCACATGTAGAGCTTGGCATATTGCGCAACTTTGAATTTGTCTCAGAGCTACGTCGTGCAAGTGTCATTGTACGCCAATTTGGTGATTCTGGAGCAAGCACTTTTGTCAAAGGTGCTCCAGAAAGTGTTAAGGCTATATGTCTCCCAGCAAGCTGTCAGTGGTCCAATTTGCTCTGGTGTAAACACTACTAACAGCAATTCCTAAGTGCCCCGTGATTATGACGAGCTTTTGAGTTACTATACACACAAAGGCTATCGCGTTATTGCCTGCGCTGCCAAGCATGCGCCAAAGCTAAGCTGGATGAAGATTCAGAAAATGACTCGTCATGAGGCTGAATGTGATCTTGAATTTCTCGGGTTCATTATATTTGAGAATAAGCTCAAGCCAAAGACTGCAGGGACTATTACTGAACTTAATCAAGCAGGCATACGCAACGTCATGTGTACAGGTGACAACATACTCACGGCAGTTAGTGTTGCTCGTGAGTGTGGGTTGATCAGGAACAACGAACATTGTTTTGTTCCTCATTTTTCGCAAGGTCAACTCTTTGCTCTGCGATTATGTCTTATCTAAGTATAGTCCTACTAACTCATTTATAGGGTATGGACACGATTCGGGTGCTTCGCTTTGTTGGGAAAGCGTAGATGATCCAGCGATCAGGCTTGACCCGACAACACTTATGGTATGACTCATGTGTCTTGGTTGGTGACTTTCGCTGATTTAAGAAGCCCCATTTAAATGCAGCAAGCATTGACCTTTCGGTGCCTGGCAATGTTTCCAATCTAAATAATTACTCTCTTGCTGTCAGTGGCGAAGTCTTCCGATGGGCAATTGACTTCGGCAGCGAAACAATTCTGAACAGAGTATGTGTAAAAAAAGCGACGACTAGTGCCGGCAGTGGCCTCTGCCATAATTCGGGTCTAACAAACATACTTATAGATGCTCGTGCGTGGCAGCGTATTCGCAAGAATGTCGCCAGATGAGAAGCATGAACTTGTTGAAAAGCTGCAGTCCCTCGACTACTGTTGTGGATTCTGTGGCGACGGTGCGAATGACTGCGGTGCATTGAAAGCTGCTGACGTCGGTATTTCACTATCCGATGCTGAAGCTTCTGTTGCTGCCCCGTTCACCAGTCGCCAATTCGATATTTCATGTGTACCCACGCTTATTAGGTAAGGAACATGTTGCCTAATGTCGAGGGAGCTTGCTGTTAAGTTTATCTATAGGGAAGGAAGAGGTTCCTTGGTAACGAGCTTCTGTTGCTTCAAGTACATGAGTCTTTACTCGGCCATACAGTTTGCGACTGTGAGCCTGTTGTATGCGTCAGCGTCAAATCTTGGTGATTTTCAGGTACATGCTTCACACCATAACGATCATGCAAGTATCGTCACTAACTAGCATAAGTTCCTCTTCATTGATCTATTTCTGATCCTACCGATTGCGATCTTCAGTAAGTGCATTTCGCAACCAATATCAAAGCATGTACTAATGGAATCCAAGTGGGATGGACTGACCCCCATCCTATACTTTCTCGCAAGCGGCCCACCGCCGACCTCGTCTCACGCAAAGTTCTGATTCCATTGCTCGGTCAGATTACCCTTTGCTTAGCTACGCAGCTTGTGGCATACAAATATGCCCAGCTGCAACCCTGGTACGCGTCGAAATTCATGCTTTCCGTGAAGTACAACATGTACAGGAGATTTGCTGATCCACTTCCCAGGTTCAAACCTCCCCGCGCAGGCTTAGAGGATAACATCGAGAATTCTGCAAATACTGTACTTTTCCTGGTCTCTAGCTTCCAATACATATTGTCGAGCGTCGTGCTCAGCGCCGGACCGCCATTTCGCAAGCCGATGATCTCAAACAGTTAGTCCCATTCAATGACTGTCAACACTTCAGGATATAGAAGCTGATTTTCCTTAGCACCATACCTGATCATGGTCCTGACGGCTCTATTCTTTTCATGCTACATGCTTTTCAGACCGACTCAGTGGCTCAGACGTGCCATGCAATTGACTTCTCTCCCAGACCTCTTTGCTTTGCAATTGCTCGCAATTGTTGCCGGAAGCTTCCTAATGGCTTGGATGGCAGAAAGAAGATTTTTTCCCAACCTTGCGAGCAAGGTTGGGAAATTACGTCAAAAACTACGACCAGGTCAGTCGAAGAAACGCCGTCGATATAAGATGCTACTCGAGGAAATGCAAAATTAGATCGCTTTCTCTGGACAATGGTCCATATTGATGAATAGAAAGAGTTATTGCAACTTCCATAACCCTGTAACTTGTCTCGAGTCTAGAGTTAAGATTTGACGAGGCCACAAGCCCGCTTGTCTGGTCCATTTATCTCTTCGACTGTATATCTCAAGACATGTCCCTTTGGTTCATGTTTGTATTGTCTCTCAGCGAAGTGTTTGATACAGTCGACCATTGCGCTCTCAATGATCCCAAGGGTGCTTCCATCCTAAAAGGGCGGGTCCATCTTTCTTGGCTCTGTACATTAACTATAATGATGGGCAATATTATTAGTGACTTCTTGAGGACGATGAGAACCATAAGTCCACTTACGAAAAACCACATGCTAGCTCCCAACGCCGTAGCCGTGAAGCGATACAGAGGTCGTGCGGGATGAACATGGATAGGATGACTTGACGCCATGTCTATATTGCGTACATTAGCTTGTTGAGTGAAGTATATGGGGGTCCATGACAATATACTTTCTGGTTGGTTCGGGATTAAGCGTGATAGACAATATCCCCTGTTTATGCTGGAAAGTGCACGATAGAGTGAGTCTTCTGAGGATGCCTATGATGTCTGCACTGCCGGCGTCACGGGAACGCATATATGTCATGTGACTCAGGACACTTCGAAATGCTTGCGGGTGCCAGGCACTCCGCCAAGGGTCAGACCTGCAATATCAATGGCAAACACTTACTGATCCTACGCAATGCTCGGTATTTACATTTCTGGCAGTCAAATCTATGCGTAAATTGTCATGTTGACCGTGAAGTCCTTAAATCGCCCTGTTTCCTTGCTAATCATTAGAGTGCTTCTCCCAATCTACCCGGCTTAAAAGTCCGATACCGTGCTCCGATACCACACACACAGCACCACTTTTAAAGTGTTATATCTTTCTTCATAAGGCACTTACTTTGGCATGTCACACACATGAATTCTCATCTGCCGACTCAAAAAATAAACCTTTGAATGTTCCCAAGGAATAGACACGCACTGGGCTTATCGCATTTTAGGGCCCCGCTTCTTGCTGTCGATCAGGATAGCTGTTCTCGAGAATGGTTGCAACCCCTCTAGAGAGAGACGGGAATGGGAGCTCCAGGTTTCGTGGATGTACCAATATACGGGACTTCGAGTTCTTGGGCAAACTAGGTGAAGGTACCTTCGGGTATGTACGGTAGCAGCCTGCTTTATACGTGTCGCATATTGAGACCCGGACAGGGAGGTATACAAAGCCAGGTCGAAGAGAGACAACACCATTGTCGCGCTAAAAAAGATTCTTATGCACAATGAGAGAGATGGGGTAAGGAATGACTGTCCTAGGCAGTATGATCAAGCTCACTTACCCTTTTTAAGTTCCCCATAACCGCTCTCCGCGAGATCAAGCTCCTCAAAATGTTATCTCACACTAATATCTTACACCTCAGAGAGATGGCCGTGGAACGCAGCAAAGGTAGGTCAAAGCGATTAATGGAAAATCTGCTCTCACTGATTATCCTCCAGGGGAAGGACGAAAGAAGCCAAGCATGTATATGGTCACCCCATACATGGAACACGATCTTTCGGGGCTTCTGGAAAATCCGAGTGTCCGTTTTACTGAAGCCCAGATTAAGTGCTATATGTTACAACTTCTGGAAGGGCTTAAATATCTGCACGCGGTACCATCCACTTATCTAGTGGTCAAAGTTATGATTCTAACCTGCTCCAGAACTCTATCTTGCACCGCGACATGAAAGGTTAGATTCGCCATTTTCGAACAGGAATTGACAGGTGGCTAATAGTACAGCAGCGGCCAATCTACTCATCAGCAATAAGGGTATTCTTCAAATTGCTGATTTTGGTCTGGCTCGCCCATATGAGGAACCTCCTCCTCAACCCGGCAAAGGTGGCGGAGAAGCAAAGAGAGATTACACCACTCTTGTTGTGACTCGCTGGTACCGCCCTCCGGAGCTTCTTCTTCAACTTCGGCGTTACACTACAGCAATCGATATGTGGGGTGTCGGGTGAGAGCACGTTCTACTTGCCATGATGAGTCAAACACCTTTCTAACAACCGCCAGTTGTGTCTTCGGCGAAATGTTCAAGGGAAAACCGATTCTCGCTGGCAACAGTGATCTAAACCAGGCTCACCTTATCTTCAATTTAGTCGGCTCACCTACAGAAGAGACGATGCCAGGATGGTCTTTGCTTCCTGGATGTGATGGTGTTAAGAGCTTTGGAAACAGACCCGGGAGGTTGCCTGAGGTTTTCAGAGAGTATGGGTGTCTCCTTTCCTTTCAACGTGAACTTCCAACCACAAGGTTCTAACGTCCACATAGCCAAAGCTCCAATGCGATCTCCTTGTTGGGGGAACTTCTGAGGCTTGATTGGAGAAAAAGAATCAATGCTATTGATGCATTAAAGCATCCTTATTTTGCTGATCCACCGCTACCTGCACGTCCGGGTGAGCTTCCATCGTTCGAAGATTCCCACGAACTTGACAGGAGAAGATTTCGGAGCAACAGAGCCGTAATGCCCCCTGCACCAACTGGAGGTTCCATAGCAATGGCCGCAAATGGAAGCTGGACTACTGCATCTGGTATCAGACCGCCTGTTGCCGAGAATAAGAGTAGCCGACTTCCTAGTGCCGTCCGTTCGAGCAGGCCGCCTTTCAGTGCGAGCCATGGACATTCTCAAGCTCGTTCTTTCGACAATCGACTTGCCGAATCGCACACATTACAAACCAGGATGGTTGAAGAGTCACATTCAGGTCCTTGGCGTAGAGGTGGCTTACCCCCAAAACCTCCTGCATCGGAACATCAATGGCACTCTGGTAACATGAGCAGAGTTGGACGTGAAAGAGATTATAACCGTCCAGGTGGGCGACCCGAAGCTTATATGGATTCTCGTGTTCCTGCTCATGTCAACACAAATTCAGTTGATTATTCTCGCGAAAGGGATAACAACATCAACCTTAGTACTGATAGGCATGATTACCTCGAAAACCAAAACTCCAGACATGATCAATCACGTGAGTGTCTATCCAGAAGGAGCCGGAGTCCCTTTGCGAGAGATGGTGTCCGTGACACGGATAGAACTTTCTATCGCAGATGATCTGGTCTCAACTACTATGAGTCTGTGTATCCATGAACTCGAAAGTGACATAGAAAGCATATGTACCTTCACAATCTGCCGGCTTATGACGTGTGACTTCAAATAAAGCATTGTATACTAAAGCTAACGTTTATATAAGCTCACTGGAGATTCTGGTTGATGCATCAAATTGTGAGGCGGTGTTGAACATTTCGCCAGTAGTTGCAGAGTAGCTGAAGGAGCTTCAGAGTGAAGCTCTGTAAATGATTCCCTATGAAAGTCCATTGAGGTATAGGCTCCAAATGAACGCAAGCTACTTGACTGCATCAAGTAATTTACATTGCTTTTTCGTCTCGACACTGTAATGATATTGCTGTTGAAGGACCACTAATGCAGATTCAGCCTTGATAGATCACGTCGACAAATTCGGCGCGACAAGCAGCCTCGTGCTTCAAGCCTGGCTTTCTTAATACAAGATGCGAGTCATAATTCGAGCTAAACAAACCAAAAGAGTGAACGATGAAGGTTGTAGTTAGCGAGAAGGGTCACATGGTTGAGCGGAAGAGAAAACCACATCATGGAGCAAAGTGGTACTTACATCCAAGGCTCTCAAGTCTCTCATACAAATCTTTGATTGTAGAGTTGTCGACGTCGCTGATATCGGCCATCAAATAGGCCACCTGCACTCAGTCAATCGAAGGACCTGGGACCCAACTGATCGGTGAAAACATACATCACCTCTGCTGTCGGTCATTTGCTTATCAACGTTGTGATCCCCAAGAATCTCATTGACTGTTAAATGTCAGCAACCTAGACAGCCAAGAAATCACGTATCGCATATCTAGTACCTTTCCGCAACACACCAGGAACATTCTGGTGAATGAAAATGACCTGCATGCCATACATTAGATATATGCTTAATTTTGGGTATGTGATCGTATGATATCGAGTGCCTTACCCGAGCATGATTTGATTCATCCATGGTCAATGATCGAAGGGCGACTTCTGGGAGGTTGACGGCGCCCAGTGTTGTACCTTCATTGACATACCTCACCAATGCCTCCGCAACTTCAACACCAATTGCACGCTGTGCTTCTTCCGTGCTACCTCCAATATGCGGGGTCAAGATCAGGTTTTTGAGACTACGAAGGTCTGCCCCCCATGTATTGAGGTCGTTATTGAAATAGTCACCATTGCCAGCCGGCTCATTAGGATAGACATCAAGCGCTGCTCCTGCGATCTTACCAGATCGCATGGAATGGATAAGTGCTGGGATATCGACGACACTCCCGCGGCTAGCATTTATGAGATAGCTGCCCGCCTTCATTTGTTCAAACTGCTGGTGCCCTATCATGTTCTTGGTCTCCGGAAGCTCGGGGACATGACAGGTAACAAAGTCGGCTTGGGCAAGGAGTCCTTCAAGGGTGGGCACTTGCTGCGCTGTGCCTAGTGCCATCAGGTTCACTACATCATAGAATATGACTGACATTCCCATGGCTTCGGCTAGAACTGAAAGCTGAGCGCCGATGTGACCATAACCGATTATTCCTAAGTCAAGTCAGCTAACTTTCTACTGTCTCAGGCGAGAGAGCATACCGAGTGTTTTCCCACGAATTTCCCAGCATTTGTTGCTCACTTTGTTCCAGGTACCATTGTGCATTTCATTTGAACGATCACCAAGTTGACGGGCAAGAACAATGATCTCCGCGATCACCAACTCCGCAACACTTCTGGAGTTGCTGAAAGGGGAATTGAAGACAGCAATACCGTGTTCAGCCGCGTACTGAAGGTCAACCTGGTTGGTTCCAATGCAGAAACAGCCGATGACAATAAGGTTCCGGGCTTCCTTCAAGACACGAGCGCTGAGTTTCGTCTTGGACCTGATACCAATGACATGTACATCACTTCAGATTTCATCATTAAGTCAGCTATGAATCTCACACGATGATAGAAATATACCGTGGAAAACCGACCGGATTTTCTCGATAAGCTGATCCTCTGGGAGCGATGATTTGAGAAATTCAACCTGGTAGCCCTGTTTCGTGAGAATATCCCTGCCCGTCTGATTGACATTCTCCAGGAGTAGTACTTTGATGTCCTCGGTGGCGAATGGCTTCAGGTGTTTCGCATTAGCAAGTGGGATGGTGCGGCTTCCCAGAGCTGATCCTCCATGGCTCGACGGTGCAGATTGGAATGAGGCCGTAGGAGACGTGGAGAAGTTAATATCCCTTGCTGATGCTGCCATTGTTGCTTCTAATTTATCCCTCAATTGAAGGTACCGACCAAAATTATTTATAGGTGAGCCAAAAAAAAAAATTTATCAATTAGAAGTATAAAAATGGGAAGGGAAAGAGGCCGACTTTTTTAAAGTTCTCCGGAACCGGAGTGTTAGAGCAATGTTCCACATCTGCAATTGAATGTTTGAGTCATCGCTGCAAACAAGAAGTACGTATTGGAGGGGTAAGAGCGGGGCCGGCCCTTTCCTTCCTGCTTCATCCTCAATCCAGTACCCCGTACAATACACCAAACTACTACTCAATGTATTGTATACTATTGCTTTGTTGTCTACAAAGGCTGAACACTTGCAGCTTTACAGAAAAGCCAGAATATAGCTCTGTATGATTGGAGCATTGAGTTTGTGAAGAGACAAGCCAAGCTATTACTAGTTATACTTGGGTAAAAGTGGAGTTAAGCAAATTGCACAAATAATTAATGAAAGCAAGACGAATTCTAAAAGTAAGCTCTGCCGCCGGTATAAGACCAAGACATCTCAGCTTCATATCTATGACATTGAAGCTTGAGGGTTAGCCACAACCATTTGCATTTGGGCCGCAGAAAGATCATTTCTTGATTTGAATAGGTAGTGAGATGTTGCGGACGAAAGCACTCAGACCTGGAGGTTTTGCAACTTCTTGGCAGCGTCTTCCGCACTATTCGCGCTCTTCGAAGCCTGCTTGGCCTTGGACTTCTGAGAGGTACTGTCCTTAGGAAGCTCCTTTGTGAATGGAAGGAACTCGGGCATTCCTGGAATGTATTTCCTGAGGGGTTCCGGGACAATGATACCCTATCTAAATTTAGCGAGAGGATCACAGTATAGAGCAGCTCACAACGTACATCTTCAGTCTGATAGTTCTCGAGGACACAGCAAAGTGTTCGTTCAGTGGCACAGAGAGTAGCATTCAAAGCATGAACATAGGACTTTTTGACATCGGTGGCTTTTTTAATGCCGTAACGAATCTCGAGCGCCCTCGATTGGTAATCAGTGCAGTTGGAGCAGGAAACCAATTCTTTATACTCCCCTTGGAAGGGAAACCAGGCTTCTAGGTCGTATTTCTTTGCGGCAGCGTTGTTCAATGCCCCAGAGACAATTGCTACCACCTGATATGGCAGTCCAAGGGACTGATAGAACTCCTCCGATGTAGCCATCATCTCTTCAAAAGCCTGCCAAGAGTCTTCCGGTTTTGTGAGAACGAATTGCTCGATCTATGCTACTATTAGTACTGTCAATCAATGCTGCTTATCACAGGTTTCTTACCTTCTCGAATTGATGAACTCGGAAAATACCCCACGCATCTTTCCCATGCGCGCCTGCCTCCTTGCGGTAACACGTGCTATACCCAGCATACCTGGAAAACCATTAGTACAATAAGTGGATAAACACCCATAGTACTTACTTGATCGGGAGGTCTTTGTCTTGAAGCCACTCCCCATCATGCAATGCTGACAGAGGCTGCTCTGAAGTGGCAATGAGATATTTATCAGTGGATTTGTCCTCACTTTCTGTGACTTTGTAGAGCTCCTCATCAAATTGCTCAAGCTGCGCGGTCTTCGCCATCATATCCTTGAGCATGAATTGGGGAGGCTGATTTGGTTTATAGCCCTTTCCCCAGAGAAACTCGAGCCCGTAGTTGATGAGCGCAAGGTTTAAGAAGAGACCATATCCCGTCAAGCAGTACCCACGGTGGCCGACGACCTTGACACCACGCTCTGGGTCGAAACCGTCAAGACGTGTAAGCACCTCGTGATGAGACAGACAATCGCGCTTCTCGACCTTCACATTTTCTGGCACCCAAGATTTGACCACAACATTGTCATCCTAGGCGGCAAGTCAATCTCAATTATATCGACACGTCGCCATACAGATGACACAAACCTCGTTGTTGCTAACGGGAACTGAATCATGCACAATGTTGCCAATTGTCCGGATCTTCTTGTCCCTCTGCGATTCTTTCTGGACGGCAAGTTCCTCGGCATCTTTCTTACGCTGCTCAAGGCCAGCCTTTTGTTCCATCAAGGAGCCCGCGTCTTCCTTGTTCTGTTTGATGACTCGCATTAATTAGAAACATGTATTTCATTTGAATACAGTGATGGAATTTGACTAATCCAACCGACCTTCTTCATCTTTCCGATCTCTTTCTGGAGCGCGTTGAGCTGGGAATTGATCTGCATGACTTCATAGCGTGCTGTAGGCGAGGGCAATCTTAGTTAGGACTTTCAATTACATGGTGAAATGGTAATATGTGTCAACATACCCTTTCTTGCCTCTTCATACAAATTAAGGACTTCATCGACAACATGTTCGGGTGCATATCTTTTGCGCTGGCTGTCCTTGATTCTGTTCGGGTTACCACCGCGATCGGTGATAAAATCGGCAAGGTCAAGCATTTTTGAGCGGTGTGTTGAAAATGATTCAGTATACTCGAGTATATGTAAAAATTTACAGACTCAATTGTGAGAATGTATATCTGATCTGTGAATGGTAAGGTAGTCGGCCACTGACAAAGAGGGGTATTTGAGAAAGGCTGAACTTTCTTGCCGTGTAGAATGAGGGGCAAAATTCTAGGTGGCCTGACTATTCGGGTATAGCATTGAAATGACATTAGGCCGAGTTCACTCATCTACACCAACATCCTCCCCCCCTCCCCAGTGCCACCTGATCTCAGCTTCCACTACAGAGCAGAGGCTCGAGCTGGTTATGCTTGGCTTAATTAAATTGAACGCAGTATCTACATTGATTGATCTTTATACTTTTTGGAAGTCTAGTCAGTAAAGAAGAGCTGTTTTATTGTACTGAAGTTTTATCAGATGATTAACATATAAGATAGTAAAAAGAAACCAAGAATACGCCATAGATAGAACAAAGGTGGGCTCTGTAGGTGACAAGGCATATTTGAACAGATCTTTCCACCTCATCCAGACACATTACTCATTGAGTAATACCTAGTGAATTTCAGAAGAATCACATTACGGAACATTTGTTCCCTCCTGCAGGTTGAGATGGATTCTGGGACCTTTCAATCTCACCAATCATCAAGTCAAAGGCTTTCGCAACATTGTAATCAAGACGAGCACTGGCCTCAGTGAATGCACAGTGAAACTCTTCGCCCAGTTGCCGCCCTTCATCCAGAGATACCTGACGCTGTTCTGACTTAAGGTCACTCTTATTTCCGACAATAACAAGGGGCACGTGGTCAGCACCCTGTATGATTGCATCAGTATAATGGATCTGTAGTGAATGGGATGCAGGGTAGTACCAGATGATTTAGTATCTTATCTCGAATAACTCTGACCATATCAAACGATTGACGGGATGACACCGAGTACACAATTATGTATCCATGGATGCCAATGAAGTGTTTTGAATTCAAGATGCTATATTCATCCTATTGTAAGATTAGCCACGCCCCGAAGTCAGATTACATGAGTCTTTCTTACTTGACCAGCTGTGTCAACAATTTCAGTTGCGAAGTCCTGACCGTTGTATTTGATAATGCGGCTGAACGTGTTTTCAATCGTCGGATAGTAGCTTTCTACGAAATGATGTTCAACGAACCGAACTGTAAGAGAAGATTTACCTGGAAAGTCACAAGTAATTCATGGGTCAGTGTTGGAGGCGATGATAGTAGAAATTAAAGATAATAGCAAGTCTTACCCACAGAGCGACTGCCAACGATAGCTATCTTCCGCTGCTTCGGAGCACTAGGCATCTTCCTCTTAAATAGCAGTACAAATCAACGCTTATAGGCAAGATGTATACTGACGCAGAAAGACTTTTGGGTGGTACAGACTTCTTTCTGGAGCGTAGCGCTGTGGCAGATTCCCCGGAATGGTCAAAAAGGATTAGTATGAGGAAAGAATCTATAAGTCCCTGTGATCCCAGCAGCCCTCATCATAAGATGGGATTCGGGGCATTAGAAGTCCAGCCGAGAGTGGCAAACAAATCAAACGGCTGCACATACATATTATGTCAGGACGGGAAGAGCAGTTAGCGCACTGGGTTAAACTTATCGCCGATCATTGCTTATCGATTATTATCTTACTGTTACAGTACCAGATCTTATTCTTGGCCGGAGAACATAATGCCATATTGGTGTTTAGAGACTTTTCTGCGGCGTAAGAGAATTACACATTACCTGAAGATGGTACCGAGCAATTACTCTATCATTAAAAATCCGTACATCATTCGAGACCGTGGTGCTAAAAGAGTATCTAGCTATGGTGAATGAAGGTGTTGTCACTATGGTAACGGTTTGTTCTACGGTTGGCTTATCTGCTCTATGATATGTGCCAAACGTGTCGTGGATGTGTCGTCACGGTTTTGAAATTCGCCGAGTCGTGAGTCTCTTTCGACTGTCTGATGATATAGCAAAAATTCTTTCGCTGTTGCCATGACCGAGGCGATCTCCTTACCACATTCCATAAGCAGTTCCTGAACTTGAAAGTATGCCTCCTTAAGAAGACAGAGTAGAGCTAACAGTATTGACAAATACCCGACAGCAACATTAATATGTGACTCGGAAAGTGAATTTGCCTGGAAATTAAATGAGCGGTGATTTCTGCTGGCTAGTGTACCTTCAACACTTACATGGTTGATGAGATCGATGCTGAGAGAAAACTGATGTACAAGTGTCCCAAGGGGTGGATGCGAGTCATGTATTGGCGCAAGAAAGGAGGCTCTGCACCTCTCACTCTGTTCTGCCAGGTTTATAAGAATACCTAGAGCCAAGATGACGAGGTTGAATGACTCGTGCTCATTGAAGCCGACGATAGCAGACGCATCAGAAAGCTCAGTTGTAATGATATGAACAAATCCGGTGATAGTTTCAGGTGCAGCATATTGCTCGCACGCCAGAGGATCATTATTGGTGAGGTTTAGTACGACCCTCAAATATAACGTCAAGATTCGTCGGCCTTGGTCACCCAGGGCAGGGCGAACGAAGTCATCATGCATTAGGACAAATTTGCGGAAAGGACCATCGTACTCGTAGCCTGGTGTTGCTGAAAGCATTATGTAACTCTCCAGAACAAGAAGAGTTATTGACTTTGTTTGAAAGTCGTCGTAGGATAGAGGGTATGTTGTGACTTTACCACTGTTCGGAGGCAGAAGCGCAATAAGGTTATCTAGCAAAGACCGAGACATTGACTGTATAGGTTGAGACTTGTCTTGAAATGCTGGCAAGCAAACGCTAATGCAGGAAAGAATGGCTAGACGTGGAGAAAGTCTCGGTGTCGGGCTTTCTGAGAACATCGAAGCTGTCAATCGTGGGATGAGATCCCTGAGCGACGCTTGCACGGCTCTTGAAACATGCAATCGCGGATTGCCTGCCAAGGATATTATATCGTCTTTCACTGCGAGCAGTAACGAAGATTTGTCGACCAGAGTTGTCCAAAATGTTCTCAAATTTGAGTGCGAATATACCCCTTTGAAACAGACCAATCTATAGGCACACAGTGCTAGACATGATGAGATAATGTCTAGATCGCTCGCGAGGCTCTTGACTAGTCGGTCATCAAAGCCATATTCCGAGAATCGATGTATGAAGTCAGGTTTGAGTAGCTTCGAACACAGCTGAATGAGCCCATTGCATCTCTCGGAAACCGTGCTACCCGGCTCTTCAAAATCATCGAATAGTGCTTCAACCGACTCTTGGAAGCGGGCATTGTCCCCAGCCTGCCTCAGCTCATGGATGCTACGGACAGGCCTGCCGTGTTCCTCGCCGTCGGCAGACAAGGAAATTGTACTGCGATGTTTGAGGGGGGCAGATGAACCCCCAGCTTCCACATCGTCCAAAGCTGCAGCCGAGGCGCCATGTAATTCAGAGTCAAAAGTGTTCAAGGTACTTCCTAAGAACGAGCGTTGGCGAGCGTACGTTATCCTGGAACGTAAAAGAGTGCTTGATGTTGATGTTCCTGTCTCCCTGTCATTGCTTGGGGACTGGACGGGACCTTGTTGATCCCGGTATTGGTCCGATTGCAAAGACCTGGCCTCTGATTGAAAGAGTCCTGGGACGGAGGATGTATTGGCGCCGCAGGTTCCGGAGGCGGAGGCGGATACCTCATTCAAAACTGACTCCTCTGCCGCACTTAAGGAATCAATAAGCCTTCTTCGCGTTGGCCTAACTCGTTGCTGATATAAAACTGTCGGCATATTTCTCTCAGATCTGTCCCTAGTTTGTGAGGTATGACTTAAAATTGGCGATCTGCTTAACGAGTGTACTGGTGCTTGGCAATCAGACTTAATCTGAGCACCCGACGCCAGAGACGGAGGAATTGAACTGCCTGCCACAAGGGACGATATGCTGGAAGACCGATGGTGACTATCATTCTTTTCGTTCCCAACCGCAGCAGTGGTGGCATCAGAGAACGCAGAGCGAGACGGAGCGCGACGCTCATTCGAACATGCCATACCAACCTGTCGGGTGTCATAACTACCACACACGTCCCCATCACTCTGGATTGAGGTCAACTGCTCTGGGGCCGTAAGCTTTTGTCTCTTCTGCTGCACGGGCTTGTGTGCCCGCGACCTTTTCCTGTTTGGTGTAGTTTCCAGAAGATTGTTCGCTTGCGCGATGCTCTGATTCCTGGCATCGTGAGATTTTAATGGGCTCCCTGCCTCGAAAGATGGCGCAAATTCTCTAGCCGGCTGCCGGAGCGCCCTGGGCTTCCTTTGGGGAAGTGCTCTCTCGGTCATTTGGGCGATTTTCGGCCTCACTGCTTCATTCGAGCACATGAGCAGATGCCGTTGTGATCAGCAATGAAAAGCTGCGGTTTACAAGAGAAGCCGGGTACACCAGAGTTGCCAATGAGGAATTCCTCACATGATTCGAGCAACAGGAGGTGCTCGGATACCTGGAGTTAGATTAGTGGCGTTGACGTAGCCCGAATGAGTAGAGGTTCGTTCGCAGAAGCATGGATACTAATCCCAAAGAAGCGTATCTCGCGCAAGTAAGATCATCTTTGGATGCTGTATAATGTCCCGTCCACGGTCCAGCTTGATTCATGGATCATCTACCTAATCATGGATGTGACGGCTCATGGAAGGCGGTCAACCAACAGCCAATGACAGACAGACAGATGTGCGGCCGCCTTTGAAAGCCCCGGACCTGGAAAACCCAGCATATTACCGATGCATCGCTCTTTTGAACTGCATCATCTTATGATTTTAATGTACCAGTGTTACTGTTTACCGCTGTACTCATGTCTTTATCATTCTACCCGCGGCTGCTCTCACGGGTAGGCCAGCGACTTCAGGTGACTCTCCAATGTCACACTGTCAAATAATAGCACTTATTGACACGAGTATAATCAGCCTCTTATATTAACTCACCGATCTAGCTCCTTGACTGAGCCGCAAAGGAATGATCCACCCAGCGCTGATGTACCTCGCAACTCCAGTCTGCTTAAGGACGAACGAATGTCAGCGGCTATAACCCACTCCCCCGCTTCCGAACTCTTGGGCTTACTTCAGTCTAGTTCTGGTCACTCGACAGAGTCATCTACGTCGCCTCAGATGCAAGCCAAAGATTGGTTTGACTTTCACTTGAACGCAATCATCGATCAAATAACGGACTAACTATCACTACAGGGTGCAGCGTCTGGAGGGTTTAAGTGGCAAGGCACGGCTGCCCCGAAGCGTGCAAGCAGTATATCTACGGCCGCTTCGTAGAAAGGCCGAATATGGTCTTCCAGTGTGTGATCTCCAGCTGAGATCATACAGCGTTCGAAATGTCGAATTTTTCTCGGATTTCGCTATACGAGCTGCATATTACTTGGGTCTTCCGGTTTCTGGACCTGTACCTTTACCGCGTATTGTCGAAAGATGGACTGTGCCTCGGAGCAATTTTGTTCATAAGAAGAGCCAGGAAAACTTTGAGCGTATAACCCTGCGTCGACTGATTCAGGTCAAAGATGGCAATCCACAGACTGTCCAGGCGTGGCTGGCTTTTTTGAGGAAGTATGCATTTCATGGAGTGGGTATGAAAGCAAACATGTGGGAATACGACAGTCTCGGTATGTCTTAGTCTTCTACTGCATTTCACCGTCAGTAAGAGCTGACCATTTGTTCGTACCTAAGATGTCGTCGAGAACCTGGACAGAGCGGGTCCAGAAACTGAAAAGTCACTTGAAGGACTCCTTTCACAATTCGGTCAAAGACAAGATACAAAATCGGACGATTCTCTTGTTGGCCTCTTGAACAAAGACCACCTAGTCACAGTGAAGAGCCCCTTAGCAGAGGTCGGCGGGCGCTGACTAGTCCAGCATACTTCCATATAAGGTGCTGCTTTATTTGATCTGTATTACTAGACCTTGGAATCTCTATTACTTCTGCTTGGCGATCTTGGGAGTAACTTGCAGTCCACACCATCACAAACCATTCTGTCTTGCCATGGTCCTTAACCGGTCTCGCAAATGCAAATGAGAATACACCAGTGACATGACACCGTTGCCATGGATCCCCAGCTTACAATCATCTCATTAGCCCCGTTTCCTTGTTTTCTTTGGTAGACTTTGCAAAAGGTAGAAGCAATACACACCCTATCAAGGGGTGGTGCCATAAAATGAGATATTACATGACACCAGTTGTTACCAGTCACGTGATATCGGACGAGTATAATCCGCGGCTTTCAAGCCACATGGTATGTAAAACCTTGTCTATATGCAACTCGCCTTAACAAGGTGTTGTTAATACAACATGTATGATATAGGCTTTTGCCTCAATAAGAATCTCAGATTGGCTGCCAACCGGCACCGGCCTTGCTCTGGACGGCCCACCAGGACCCCGATCAAATACGAAAAGCTGAAAAGCTGTCGCCCTTCTAACAGATCATTTGGCATCTGTACTACGAACCACGCTTCCAATGCACCTCGCACAATCTTTTCTGGTATCCAGCCTACAGGTGTGCCTCACTTGGGTAACTACTTAGGTGCTTTGAAGGAATGGGTTCGATTGCAAGACACTGCGACTGAAGGGACGAGATTGATATTCTCTATCGTGGATTTACATGCGCTCACAGTGCCCCAAGAACGCAGCCAGTTGAGGGATTGGAGGAAACAAATGCTCGCCGCATTGATTGCCGTGGGCTTAGATCCGAGTCGCTCCACGCTCTTCTATCAGTCTGCCGTACGCTGTGCTGCTCTTATTAGCCGATTGTTTTTCTTGTCCACTAACCCACCGTCAGGTTCAATCCCATGCTGAGCTGTTCTGGATCTTATGTACGATAGCATCTATGGGATACCTATCACGGATGACTCAATGGAAGGTGAGTAATCACAACGGAAGACGGAGACTGCGGGTTGCAGGCATTGCAACAAAGACATATCATTGAACCATGAGCATTAACATTGAAAAGAGCAAGCTTCAATTACCTGACGAAGCGACTCTCGAAAGCCAAGCTGCAAGATCGGAGCTGCGGCTTGGCCTTTTCTCATACCCTGTTCTTCAAGCAGCGGACATACTCGTTCACAGGTCTGGTGCTATTCAACACCCCGTGGATCTTGGCTAACGCCGATTAGAGCAACCCATGTTCCAGTTGGAGAGGACCAAAGGCAACATCTCGAGTTCTCTCGAAATATTGCAAATAGTTTTAACCATCGATATGGGCAGGTTTTCCCGGTTCCGGAGGCTCTTATATGTGAGGCGCCTTTGGTTTTCCGAATGAAGGTTCTACCACGGCAGAGAAACATTACTGACTATGGAATGCCCTGTAGCACCCGCTAGGCGAGTGATGTCTCTCAAAGAGCCTGCTCTTAAGATGTCCAAGTCTCATAGTGACCCACGGTCCAGAATTCTTCTCACCGACTCGCCTGAGGATATACGTAAGAAGATCAAGGTTGCGCTCACGGATTCTGAATCTGGCGTAACATATGACCCCATTCGCAGGCCCGGTGTGTCGAATCTCTTAGAGCTTCTTAGTCATTTTGACGGAAGAACATGCGAGGAGTTGGTGGCGGAGCACCAATTTTCTAGTCTCAAGGCTCTGAAGGAAACACTAGCCAATCAGATATCGAGCAAGCTTGCGCCTATCAGGGAAACATACTTACAACTAATTGCAGACAAGGGAGGGTATTTAGATGCTGTGTCTGAACAGGGCAGGCATACAGCCAGGACTAATGCCGAACAGACTATGAGCCATGTCAGGAATGTAATGGGTCTATGAAAAGCTACTAATAGTTCCAAAATGGCTTTGTCAGAGTGGACAACACGAGTCTACTGTTAATAATCTAAATTTGACAGGATTCTACTGTAAGACTGTGACAGTTGCAGCCGATGAATTTAGTTAGTATACTTAATATTGTTAATCATGATAGTTACTCTATTAAGGATTTGGATGGGAGGTTGAACTTATAAAAATCACCTCAGGTAGAAAATAACAGCAGAATTAATTGATATCACCAAAACCACCAACTAAACTGCTATATAAAGCGGGCTATTAAAATCAACACCTATATTGAAATAATTAAGTATAGAAAGCTGAAATATACAAAAATATAAAGCTATCTAGAAATTACTCAAATACAAAAAATAGGCAATGTAGATGTCAGATCTTTAGAAGATCTAGTATACAAATGTATAAATCATGAATTATATATAAAGCTTGATGTTATTACTCTTAAAAAGGCCAGGCCGAATAAATGAGTTAAAAGGCGGGTTTCGAAGGCGGTGCCGACCAGCAGAATAAAGTATTAATCTAATAATAGTATCTTTTTATTAAAGTTGTTATAGGACCAAGGTGTCATGGGTAATCCCCGAGGGCATGTTGAACCACCAACAGCTTGCCTATGTATCCCTGACGGAAAAGTTGTGATATTAACAACTTAAAAACTCCCTCCAGTATTTAACTTCTAAAAACTTGCTATATCTTTGGAATAGTAAGAATTAGTTTTAAAATTAATAGACTGCTACTATTCTATATCTAACTAACCTATTTTCTTTTAACAATTCTAATTCTTTCTTTTTAGTTATTTATAGAATACAGTATGTTACAGCAACTATTATATTCTAATAGTAGTTTAGAGTTAGAAACTTCTTCTACTGCTAATAGTTTATTATTTTTATTATTAGATTCTTTAGTAGAGGATCTTACTACAGTTAGAAATACTATTAGCTAATTATAAAATTATTAGTAGTTATAAAAATAAGTTGCTGAACTGCAATAAAAAATCTAATATAATAATATTAAATTATAACTAATCCGGTAACAGAAAACTTTCTCACCTTTAAATAAATCTAAAATAAATATTAAAATTAAGAATATTCTATAATTTAAACTCTTTTTTAATATCTAAAAGTATTAGGAGTAGTTTTATAATCTAAATTATAACTTTTAGAAAGTACTATTTAAATTTTATAATAATTATTATAAAATTTTTAAAACTATAAGCTATATAAATGTAATCTGTCGGCAGAGATAGTACTATTATTTTAATAAATTACTATTAAAATATAAAAAAAATATTAGCTATTTATAGCCTGCCTTTTTAAATAGATATTTTTTTATTTAAAATACTGCTATTTTTAAATCTAATATAATAAGCCAGCTAGAATAAGCGCGGCAGTAAAATAATTAAAATCCTTATAAATTTTATACCTATTTTAATATTTTAAAGTAATATTTTTCTAAAGCTACTAAAAAAAATACAGCTATACTTTTTTTATAAAATTACTTTCTGATTTTAATTGCTATATTAAAAAATATGTATATCAGCTGTTTAAAAAATAAAATAAAATAGTATCTTTTACTACTTATTATTAGAACTTATATATATAACAGTAAAAATATAAACAGAGACCTAATATATCTAATATATTTTAAAAATATCTAGAATTTTATAAGAATATCTAATCTTTAATCCCCAGATCTAATTATACTAATATAACTAAAAAATAGTTATAATACTTTTTATATAATAGTACCAAGTATCTTGTAAATTAATACCTCTAAAAAAAAACTAGTTTAAATTTAAAAACTGCAAGCTAAAAAAGTTAATATAGAAAAATAGAATAGGCTGAGGCTAACTTTCCTATTTTAGTCCTATATTATAAAGTAAAAACAGCTAATAAGATATTAATACTAATACAAATTTTTTATATTAAAAAAATCTATACAGATATTAATAGTTGCGCAGTATACAATCTAGTTAGTATTATATTTATATAGTAATATTTTTTTTTAAAATCTTTAAAGTAACTGCTTTAGCTGGAAGTTATTAATTATACTTTTATTACCAGCTATAAAATATAGAATATTTCTTTAGATATTATTAATTTAAAAGGAATATAATATTATTTTATTAGACTGTATATTACTACTAATTAAAATACTTTAATCCTATTTTTTATAACTACTCTGCTTAATTATAAAATCTATTTATTACTATAGAACAAGAAATAGTACTTTAAATTTAATAAAATCTAAAAGCTAAAATCTTAGAATTTTATTAAGGCTTGCTGAAACTATATCTGTATTTATACTATTATTAAAGCTTTAAAAAAGCTGTGGCTTTCTAGTAATAATAATTTTTAATAATACTACTAAAACAACCCTGTTCTAATAAAACTAGTTAAACTTTTTAATATCTTTTTTTTTACTTAATCTAAAGTTCTTTTAGAATACTATAATAAAAACTATACTATTAATTTTTTTAAAGGCAAATTACTGCTGTTTAGACCTATTTATTTTTTATTAAAATAAAAACTCTTTATACTTAGAAACTATATTAATAAAAATACTATAAATAAAAGAATATATTTATTTAAAAGTCCTACAAAGGCTCCTATCCTCTTTATACTAAAAAAAAATAAAAGTTTATAATTATATATAAATTACTGTAGATTTAATAAGATTATATTTAAAAATTAATATCTACTGCCCTTAATTTTTAAGATCCTGGATTATTTTACAAAATATAAATACTTTAGTAAGATTAATATTTAGAATACTTATTATTATATCTGTATTAAAAAAAAGAATAAATAGAAAACTGTATTTTATATCTGTTACAGCTATTTTAAGTATATAGTTATACTATTTAGTTTAACTAATACACCTACTTTTTTTTAAAATTATATATATTTTATACTATATAATATTTTTGATACTATTTATATTGCATATCTGGATAATATTTATATATTTTTTATAATAAAAGTTAATTATACTAAATATATTAAACAGATACTGGTATAATTATAATAAGCTAATTTATATACTAAACTTTTAAAATATTCTTTCTTTCAGCAGTAAGTTAAATTTCTAGGCTATATTATATTTTTTATAAAAATTATAATAAATTCTAGTTAAGTTAATACTATTATTTTATAGCTGTTATCTACTACCTACTATAGTATCCAGATCTTTTTAAGATTTTATAATTTTTATTAGAGGTTTATTTATAATTTTTTTTATTAGTATTATCTTTAACTAACCTACTAAAAGAAAGTTAAAACAGTAAGAAGCCTAGTATATATTATCTAATTTTAAATAAAAAACTAGTATTCTACCGGCTTATCTA